ATAGAATTACTAATGTTCTCACACAGATTATGATTAACCAAGTTTCTGTTTCTTTTAGATAAGGAGAAAGACAGCTCTAACTATTCTCCATTTTACTTTCCAAGTACAAAAGAGAAAAGGATAAGTATCTACATAGTCCAGATATACTTCCACCCCACCCCCAGCCTCCAGCATCTCCTTTTCAGCTCTACATGTCATCAAAGGGAAGAGGAAACAGCTGCCCCCATGGCAGAGAGATAAGTGTTGCCAGAAGGCAAAGAAAATTATGTTCCTGAGCACGATAGGATGTCTGGGTCCTGTCCTGCTCTTAAGAATGTGGGCACTGAAGTAGAAGAGAAATATACAACCAAGAATGGCAAGTATTTCTGTAACTTGAACAGCAAGGCTGAGAAGGAAGGCTCGACTACCATAAAGGAAAGGCAGGCTCAGACCTTAACTCAAAGACTATGGTTAGAGTGGAAATGGGGGATGGCTGACAGGCTGGTGACTAGGGCAGCATATCGAGGACTAGGCTGAGGATAGTATAACCTAATGCACCAATGTGGGCTCCCTTTTTGTAGTTCTCAGTGAGTCTGCAAAGTCTAGCACTATGCATAAGTCATCTTATGGGGGCCATGAATCAAGAACAACTAAACAACAGGACCAACACTTCCATTAAAACGTTAGTCCTTCTGGACTCTCTGACCTTGAGAAGCTCATTGCTCCTCCGCACTTGCCAAAGAAAGACTGGAATAACTGTTTGACCTTAAGGTCTCCCTTGGTGCAGATGACAGACCTACAAATAAATAGACCTCTCACAGTGTGTCTTTCTAATTCAGTAAGTTTAAAACACACACACACACACACACAGAGTCTATGGCAGTTCTGATTTTCTTTCAGCTTTTATTGCTTTTGATGCGAGTTTTAGTTCCATTACTGCTGTTTAAGTTGTCTTTCGGTCATGGTCATTTCCCTTTTCTTTCATTAGCTGTCCATTCATCCTAATTTATTCTTGAATATAAATATATGCAATATTTTTGATGAATATGTATAAATTTCCCAAAATGAACTCTCAGCCTCATTAACTATGTATGTGGATTTGCCTCTATTTATACATAACATCTGAGTTTAGCAGAGTACACACACACACACACACACACACACACACACATTATATTAGAGAATAAGATATATATGAATGTAAAAATAAGCACCACACACACATACTATATTTGAGAATAAGATATATATGTATGTACAAATAAGCAACACACACACACACACACACACACACACATTTAGCATGGGTATGGAGGGCAAAGACAAAGTTAAGGACTCAATTTTCTCTTTCCATTGTGTGAATCCTGAGGATTGAATTCAGGTTGTCAGGTTTGACTTCAGGAAGCTTTACTCAGGAAGCCATTTCAGCAGCCCCTTTCCTCAGCTTTCCTCTAAGTGTTGGCTCTATTTCATTAATATCCAAAAGCAAAAGCAAAAGCAAAAACAAAAACAAAAAACAAAACAGAAGAAATGAAAACAAAATAATATTGTGTACACCAAGATAGTGGCCAATGTTGGTGAGACCTTTGCTGCATGCTCAGAGTGTCATTTCTTTGAGCATGCAGCAAAGGCCTCATCAACATTAGCGACTATCTTCAAAGTGCATTAGCTGCAGTCTTTAAACTGTTTCTAGTATGCTACATTTTTCCTGTGGGATCCCTGTAAGTATGAATTTTCCAGAATGTGCCCTCAGCCTCAGTAATTGCATATGTGGATTTTCCTCTTCCTATTTTCACACAGGCCCAGCTTAGTGGAGTACAAAGACTTTTCTTTGCATATCTTTGTAGGGCTGAGATAGATCATACTGCCTGGCACACAGGTGAGACTAACCCTTCCTAAAAATCCACAAAACCACTACAGCTCTTCATATGAAGGAAAGAAATACTGATAGGTAGATTCCTTGGCCCCATCTGGCCTGTTCATCCTGCCTCGCTCAGCATCAGCAATGCTCAGAGCCTAGGGATTCTGTCTGGTTACTCTTACACCTGCTACTGATTACAACAAACATATTGCTAAGTACACTCAAATCACAGCACATTTTAATTTATTTGGACATTAGTAGTAGTATTAAATACTTATCTATATAGTCAGAACCAGAAACCACATGATAATTTGCTACTAGTAAATTGTTCATCTGCAATTTTTTTCCTACAGTGATAAAAGGCCTCTTTATTATCTCCATGTACCCATAAATTACCATTGAGTACATACTCAGTACTTAATACATGCCCAGAGAAAAAATTCTGGAGCCCAAAGAACAAACTCCCTGTGGTTCTGATTCTAACAGTGTTGTCTTGACAATACCAGTTGCTATTCGCATGTTACTAAGTGCTTCTCCTCGCCCTTTAAAGCTGCTCTACAAAAACAGGAATAATTGCACTTTTGTATTGGCAGCAGTGCTCATTAATTTATTAAATCTGTGTGAGAAAGTGCATGGTATACGTGCACCAGTGTTTGCAGGTGCATGCAAATGCCAAAGAAAGACATCAACTTCAAGTGTCTTGCTCTGTTACTCCCTGTCTATTCTTTGAGGCAGATTCTCCCTGAGCCTGAGGCTATGTTATTAGAGAGTAGGATCCAGTGATCTTTCTGCCTCTCTACCCTACAGTTCTGTGTTTGCAGCCTCCTTGCTTATGGTCACACCTAGCTTTTTTAAAAATAATAAATGCTGTGCATTTCAACTCAAGTCCTTAAGGTTTTGGTGTTTTATTTCATTGCAATGAGTGCAGACAATAAATGTATTGGGAATGATGCCTGAGATTTAGGACTAGCAAAAGGGTAAAGCATGCAGCAATAATGTGAACTCTATCTATTATATGAGTTAGAAAATACTGCACTTTCAGGAAGAAGGATTGAACACAATTACAGAATAATTTCAGAAGGCAGGCAAGTCCTAATGCTATTCAAAACTGAACTGAAGAGAGAACATGTTGGGCTGTTAGTCAGAATTGTCTTTCTTCCATCTTGTCTGGGTCCCCTTTTATCCCTGTACTGTTGTTATGCAACCTAATATAATAACAGCTGATATACGCCAAGCCCAACCAAGGGCAGTAATAGAGGGAAAGTGCTGTTAAGAAACATCAAACAACAAGAGATGTGTTTATAGGACAGTGAAACTCCTGTACAAAGCAAGCCCACCCAACAGGATTTATAGACATAACCAGGCCTGTGTTACCCTAGAAGACCGCTGTGCTGTGCATATGCTTACTCATCTAAGGCAGTGGTACTCCATTGCCTCCTGGAAATACCCTGCATCTGGCCAAGCTGGGTCTGACAAATGGTAGTTAGGAAAGGTCACCAGTCTGTCACTTCAGAGCCATGATCATTTTACCACACAGCCTGGCTCTGTTTTGGGGCCATCTCAGGAACTGATAAAACCACACTTTGAGTATCTTTAACTGTATTTGGCTTCAGCCATTTGTCTCTCTTGTTAAGACTGTCATATCTTTTTTTTACTTGTATAAGTTGTATTCCTTCTTACCCAATAGTTTGTGTGTGTTGATTATCAGAAAGCAGAAAGTATAGCCCTGTCTACTTTTGATAGCTCTTCAATGCCTCCACATTTTAATTCAGAGGCCTGGCTCACTGTTTATTTCATAGACATGCTTCATGGGTTCCAGACAAACACACTTTTGAACTGTTCAGTTTCCTTGTTTTTCCAGGATTTTGTTTTATGAAGAGAAGTTGATTATGTGGTCAACTATGTAATAAAAATGAGGTTCTGAACTTCATGGAGGCATCATAAAACTATTTCAAACAATCTTAATGAACCTAACCACAAACCTTACATTCCCGAAGCCAGTAGGCCTGATCACGGTTAACATCCCTCCTGAATGTTAGTGGCATTTGCTCACAGCCTACATTCTCACTTCCCATTTTGACTTTCCTTATACTCTTCTTCCTGGACTTGGCATTTATGGCTTCTTATCTGGTCCCTTAGAATTGAAAGGTCTCTTCCTCTCTAGATTTAAATGCTTCATTCATCTCCAAGCCTGGCTCTCAATGTTTTCAATAACCAGCCTTCTCACAGCTATGGATCCTACCTGGGTTGGAAGTGCTATAACCTCATAGGTGTGAGCTTGCCCATCAAGTTCCTCCTGGATTCTCCATGAGTGCTCACGATCTCTATACTGAAAGTAGACTTAAAGATTCTTAAGAGCACAGAGGATACATGGAAGGATTCACGGTTCCACATACATATGTAACAGAGGATGGTCTTATCTGACATCAATGGGAGGGAAGGAAGGCTTGATGCCCCATAATAGCGGGGTGCTAGAGGGATGAGGCGGGAGTGGGAGTGGGTGAATGGGTGCAGGAACACCCTCAAGGGGCAAAGGGGAGGGGGGATGAGTTGGGGAAGTTTGTGGAGGGGTTAACCTAGAAGGGGGATCTCATTTAAAATGTAAATGAATAAAATTATTAATAAAAAATAAAAAATGAAAAAGAGCTGACTTGATCCCCCAATATTAGCTATTAATTATATTTTTAGCTGAAGTTAAATCTGAAATTTTGCTATGGGCTCAGAACAGTTATGGCTCACAGGCAAGCCAATACTTAGCTTCAGGACGTGGGCCATGGGTGGTAACATTTACCACTGAGGTAGCTGGTGGACTGGAGACAGAGATGGAAAACATGACTACAAATCAATGTAAATGTAAAAGTGACATAGGCAGGACTTTCAGCCACACCAGGGCAGAAAGATGCAGCAGTAGTTGAGGACAGGAAATACTATTTTGAAGGCATTCTGAGTTGGCATGGAAACAACAACAATGGCTAACAGATCTTTCTGGGGAGCAGCAGCAACCTGACCATAGCAAGGCAACTGAGAAAAGCAAGCTAGCTCTTCTTGGCCACCTTTCCTTAGCTGTTCCCTCTTCTCCTGTCTCCTCACTTTGTGTCTTCTAAACTTTGTAACCCCTTGGCTGGGCTTCACTTTCCTGCATGGACTGGCTTTTACTTACCATGCCCTTCAGAGTCAGATCAGCTAAGGGAGACCGGTTGCCATGGAAATCTGGCCAAACATGTAAATCAACAGTGAGGAAACCCACAGGCTGAGCCTTCTTAATCAGATCCAGGTGACTGTTCAAATATGCATACATACTCTGGCATCTGGAAGAGAAGTGAATTTTGATTTTAAAAGGGGATAGGGTTGAAAAGCAAATTATTCTGTAGAAAGAAACCATTTGCACTTCCATATCAGACCCAGGAAAGCAAACATGGCTCTCAAAAGCTTCAGTAAAGTAGCTATTCCTGCATGGAATTAGCCCCTGCACTCTCACAGCACACTCTCATGCCAGGGCAGCATGCCCCGTGGAACGGCTTGAGTCAGGAGACCTGGTCAGACACTGGCTTCACTCCTGGTAGTGTGTGAGCATGAGACAGTTATTCAAAGCTCTGGAACTGTCCTCTTCTCATCTGTAGAAACATCCCACAATCCTTGTCCAACTTACCTCATAGGGTTATTATGAAGATCAAAGACCATGTATGCAAACATATAGCATTCTGTAAACTATAGTACAATATGGTACATATGCAAAGGATTTATTTAAATCTGTCTTCCTAATTGTACAAAATGATGAAATGACAAATACAGATAAATATATGCTCCTGGATGCAATGAATGAGTGTCATGCACATAGTCAGGACTAATAATCAGACACGTGATTTGGAACCATGATTTTAAAATGCTATTGTGTAGGTTTTCCCGTTTTAAGTTTTAGTTGATTGAGGTGTAAAATGATGCAATTGTGATGACCCCTTAGTCATTGACATTATTCAGGCGAAAAGATGATGAGCTTGGGAGGGAAGACAGTGCTAGTTTCAGATACTGTTATCTATCTTGGCTATGGTTAGCCTCTCTGAACTATTTCCTGTTCATAATGTAGTATGGCACTACTTACTTCATTGCGATAAGTCTTACTGCATGACACAAAGACACAAAGGCACTGGGAAAATGTGCCTTCCAAATTTCTGAACCAATGATCCCAAAGATGGACCAGAAAACATCATAGAGATAAAGCATGGGGAATGCCCACAGGTGATTAGCATCTAGAATACTTCTGCCAATATTTGTGATTTGCATTTTTAAATGCTTTAGAAGAAGAAGTGACTTCTAGTTATACTTTACAATGCCAAGAGTGTCCTCATGGATACCATGATGTTTCTGCAGGGATCAAACCCAGAGTTTGAGAATGCCATCCAAATGCTTAACCACTGAACTATAAACCCATGTCCAGTGAAATTCTTTTAGTAAGTAAAAAATTTACATGAAATTCCAGTGCAAAATGTGGAGAAAAACAAGACAACTTGATGTTTTCACACATGAGTGTAGAAACTGATGGATGTCTGTTTGTAACATTAGCAAAGGCAAGGGAGCACTACCTAGTGAGCTCTTTGGTGGAACCCTTATGGGCATCTACAGTCTATGCCTTTAGTTCTAGCAGGGGGAATACAATACTAATGGGGAAAAGCTCAATCATGATTTGGGTAGCTCCTGCCACTCCTGGAGCATGCACCAAGCTTTCACTGTGGTCCAGGGAGGATGCATCACTAAGATCCTTTACAGAAGCAATAATATAGGGAATCATATGGATTCCCCTGCCATTCACACTATAGAATATTCTATTTCAGTTATTTCAGTTCAGTTTTAGGAAAGGGCCTTCTGAGGCATCCACAAAAGGGAAGGCTAGAACATATACATATGATCATATCCTGGCATTCTGTCTCCCAACTCTCCGTGGTCTGGCTGAACAGGAACCATATTTATAACAGAAACCTCAAGAACAACCTTTCTCATCAGAAGCCAAGAGTCTGCACTATTTCTAATCACTCCCCCCTCCTTAGGAAGGGCATCAGTGCTCCCAGAGTATAATTTTTTTCTTTAAAGAAGTGAATGCCCATAAATCTTCTCATTTGCCTTTAAAGGAATCTTAGAGTGGGAGTTTGGCTTCAGACATCTGGGTCAATAGAATCTATATGCCTAATTACTATTGATTCGTCATTGTCCCATTTACTGAGGGTCTTTGCAAACAGTGAGATTCATTTAGCCTCCATATATATGGCCACTCATACACAAATGAGATCCCTTGGGGATGGGGCATATGCTTACCCCTCTGACTCCTAACCTCCTTGCAGCTGTGTGTTTATTCTTTGAATTCAGTCCTTCCCCTACATGCTTTTTCAATTATATCTTACCATGATATAATTGCTATCTGAGTATATCATTCAAAATGAAGTGCACTTGGAAGACATTAAAATAACTAATGCACATCATCATTCACATAATTTTAACCTTGCATGATGCTGTTTTTGGTTTTGACTTTGTTTCATTTTGTATGTTTTATCAATTCTTTCTCAAAAGACAGTCTGCTCTCTTCCAAGCACAGTAACCATGATCCAAATCAATTGGACTGTTCTCCCTCCAAGCATGAATGCCAGGCTCATATATCCTGTCTCAGAGGGAGTCCCATTGGGGATGACACAGAACATATAGTCTCAACAGTCGGAAAGCAAATTCATTGGTGATCAAGAACACTAAAACTCACTGAGTCCAGGCCACTCTTTTGCAATGGGAATCAGTAGTCTCTATCTTTTACAAGGTTAAGAAGACTCCATGCAGAACTTGTGCCCTATGGAACGACAGGTCATTAACAAGTAGTTCATTTCCTCTGCCATTACAAGATTTTATTTCAGGTAGCATTACTTATAATCTTAAATGCGGATAGTGTCCCCAATCACTGCTCTCTCTCACCCCAAATCAATTCATTCTTCAGGTTCACAGGTCTCCCTTCCTCATGTGCTTTCTGTCTTAAAGTGCCAGTACACTATCACTTCGACTTTTCTAACCTCTCTCCAGATCAATCTCTTCTGCTAGTCTTTGAAATATAAAAAGCTCTTCCAGAGACATGCCTTTGGTACCTTCTTACTTTGTTTATGATGACCATATTCAGAAGCCAAAAATAAGAATACATGTTGTGGAAATAACAACAACAACAACAACAACAACTATACCACCACCAGTACTGGCGCCACCACCACCATTGCTGCTGCTGCTGCCGCTACCACCACCACCACCACCACCACCACCACAACCACCACCACCAGAAAATTATGGGAAGAAGCAACCATGTTGTTCGTCTCCAGTTCTTCTTCTCAGGCATCTGCTCTTCCTATTTTGCTGACATACTTTTTATATCACTTCACCCCATCTTCCTCATTTGTTCTCTTCCTTAAGTCCCCAGAACACTCTATTATTTTTAATTTTCTAAACCTTCTCCAGCTCAATCTCCTTTTATGCTAGTCTCTTAAATGTATTAGTTCTGCTAACCTACCGTTGGTAGCTTCTTCTTCTATTTATTCATTTACAACACTGTCTTACTTTTATTCCTCCAGTTATCGTCTAGTGCTGATATGGTCCAAATCCATATTCTCATCTTCCTCACCCATGCCAATCATCATTTTAGAGTCACCTTTGCTATAATCTCAAAGCCCTTTCTGAGCCTAGGAGCCTGTTTTTGCTCATATTGCCATAGCTACTTGTACTGAACACAGCCTCTGACTCCCTTGCTGCCTTCTTCAGTGCTGCTTTGTATGAGGACAATGGGAAGGATTTCAGTATTCTCAAGAAAGTTTTAACTATATCTAGACATGTTGCACCAGCATTAACAGTGAACTTGAAGAAATTGATTTTCAGTGGCATTATGGGCTTAAGGAATAAATGTAATAATAATAATAAAAAAACTGAGTTGCCCTAAATGAAATACCAAAAGTTCCAGAAAAAGCTGAGAGCCTTCCTTCCACTTGCATCCAGCAGCAGGGGCCTTCACAGTGTTTCCTTTGTCTACCAAGCTTCCTGCTGCACAAGACTTTGAGACTTGCTGGTCTTCCCATTTGGAAGAGCCCCTCTCAAGTATCATGGCTTTTTTCTGTCCCTTCCTTTAAGGTCCCACTGCAAGGACAGCATCTCTTATTGTCCCAGTAGCCTTTGCTTTACATTTCCTAAGTTACCACATTTTTTTCATCCAGAATTTATCAATTTCAGACTATATACATATACATACATATATATGCATTGTTATACAATATGCAAATGCACACATTCATATATATATATATATATATATAATTTCTATAAAGCAAATTTTTTTATTCTTCTCTCATCTATCATAAATATTCATAATATATGTTATAACTGATAGTTCTAACCTTGGCTAAGGTATAAACCTTGAGATATCAGGCCAATATGTTCTGAAAGATCTGCTACCACCAGGACTTGATGTCTGATACAATTTGAGTTTAGCTCTATAGGAATCCAGACAAAGAGAAGAGCTGAAGCTGCAGTCAATGGTAAGCAGTCTCTGCCCAGGAGGTGAGACACCTGGGGATCTGGCTCCACATTAAGAAAGATGGTTGCCAGGTACATGTATGAGCACATCCAATTTGTTTACTTAATTTATAAGCTCTCGAGACATTTGTAATCAGAGATGGGGACTAAAAGGATTATGGTAGATCAAGAGGATCTGTTTATCTTATATTTGTTTATGTATACTTGTTCCTAGAATTTCAAACAGGATTTGCTGAAGCTAAGCTATGAGGGGAGGTGATCTGTTTTAGTGTCTTCAAAAGGTCCCAAGTCACAGCAAGGAGACCTATGGATTTTCCTCCTTTGTGGAAAGACAATTTTATTTTAAGAGAGTTCTAAAACCTGAAATATGAGGATATTGTACCAAATGGATCTGATATGATAATATGAAAGCAATAGGAAGGTAGAAAAGAACTAATTTTATTCACTAAATATGCATGAAAGTCATGAAAATACAGCAAGAGATGAAGTTAAGAGCATAGTTGGGATTTCTTTTAAATAGATGGCAAAGTAGTAAAAGACTGCCAGAGAACTAGCGTTGATGAATACTAATGCTGCTGGAATTAAAAAAAAAAAAAAAGCCCATGTTGGAATGCTAGGAACAAGCATGACAAAGGGAGACCCGAGGGATCCCTGATGCCACATGCTGCACAGAAGGTGAGAAAGTGAGTCTGTAAAGTTCCTTGTGCATTTACCTAAGGGGGCAGTTGACTATTTAAATCCTTTAATAATGGGATGAAATTTATGACCTCTAGTTATAGAAAGTCATGCACATGTATATCATCAACCTGGTACACAATCCCAAAAGTTCACTGCTGATTTGAAGCTTAGAATACTTGTTCCAGGTTATACTATGACAAAGCTGTTGTGGATTGGTTCCAATGCTATCTGTGATAATTCAGCTTCTGAAATCACACAGGAACCTGCAGATCTGCACTGAGGGTTCTTGCTCCCCAGTTGACTCTGATTGGGAAATAAAGTTACTGGCAGTGGCCAATGGCTGAGAAGGGAGACAGAGGTGGGACTTTTAGGATTCCTGAGCAAGAAACTCAGGAGAGAGAGAAAGACAGTACTGCCATGCCAGGGAAACAGGAAGTTCAGGTAGGAGAGCTGCAGAAGACAGAGTAACAATCATGTAACAGCCGGAGAAATGACCCCAGGAGGGCAGCCTAGCAGGGTCCAGGGCAGCAAAGATGAAATATAGATTAAGTAAGAATATTAAGTAAGATTAATTCAGGAATATTGGAGGGCAGTGTGTGTTAGCCATGTGGAGTTAGGGAGTGGCCTTAATATGCCTGTTAAGGCATATTAAAAATAAGGCTATGTATGTGTCTTTCATTCATAATGTGGGAGTGTAGAGGAGGCATGTGTACCCACCAGGGAGTTTAGAGCAGATTAATATACTACTGCTTCACGAAGCCAATGAAAGTGCCAGTTGCTGAGAGTCCACAGTATAAGCCTTCTCAGTAGTCATGCCATTATCATGACTCCTAGCGGAAGGCTTGGCAACACATCTCCTTTGCTATACCCTGGAAGCACACTATTCTAGTGCAACATGTATTGCATTTTAGTATTAAAGGTAGGCTATTCCTTAGTGATACAGAAGGAACAGTTTTACTATTTATATTTCATTTTGTCCATTCTATCACAAATACACATCCCGTTGTCTATCTATCTATCTATCTATCTATCTATCTATCTATCTATCTATCTCTCATCTATCAATCATCTATCTACCATGGATCTATCAACTGTCTATCATATATATATATATATATATGTATATATATATATATATATACATATATATAGATATAGATATAGATATAGATATAGATATAGATATAGATATAGATATAGATATATATTCCACTGTTATATCTGATCACCCATCTATCAACTGTCTATCTAGCCAACATTCCTTCTTCTATGGGGCTGTGAGCGCTCCCCATGGTTCTCTGAGAAAGCGTGATACAGAAACATTTATCCAGAGGTATTCTCCTTTCCATCCTGTTCCCAATCCCATTTTTTACCATCTGATTCCTATCCACACTCTATGAGTAGCCAATCTTGTTCATTTTCTAACTTAATTTACCTATAGTTCTTTTGCACACTGAGTTGGCACAAATTGATTTTCCTGTATTCCTCTGCACTCCATTTTACTTCCTATATCTCAGCAGCCACTGCATTACTACTTACTATTCTTACTTTCACAGATGAAGTAGGAGATTGAGTAGCCTGTGCACACATCTACAAAGGAGTCAAGCTGGGGTATACAACCAAGAATGTATTACTTCAAAACTCTAGACACGGTCATCTCCATCAGGGTTGCTCATCCATGCAATCTGTGTGTGGGAGTAGTTTCTCTGATTTTTCTTAGATCATTCTAGAACAAACTTAACAAATGTATTTTCAAAACCATCTGGGTGATTATCTTAAGTACTGCCAAACATTTGCATTGTTCATAAGCTCTGAAAATCATACAACTTGCAAATGAATGCCACTCATACATCCACAGAGAAAAGCCACGGAGGAAAGTTGGAGAAGTTACCTGGCTGTGGCCTTGGCTTGTAGTTCAGGAAAGGCAGGATGGCCCTGCACCATATGGTCTATCTAAATAACACAAAAGAGGTGAGTCATTTATAATGTCTTTATCCTGAAGGTACATACACATATATACCACAAGCACAACACACACACACACACACACACACACACACACACACACACACACCCCACAATGTTTTGTTCAACTCTTCGTCTGTAGAGAATCTAAGTGCAAAACAACAACAAAAATACATGAATAGGAATATATCAATTCTTTTACCAAATGTAGTATTTTTAGTGCAGGAGCCTTGGAATTATACAAAATTTAGAAGGAAGAGTAGCAGCAGATGAGACTTTTAATGCTAAGCTGGTAATAGTAGTTAGACACTGCCCTAGAAAACAGATTGAGAAAAGATGGATCTGTTAAGTGGGCAAAGGGTCTTGTTTGTGGAAAGAACTAACTGTCTCTGAGTTACTTCGTTTCTCCCTCCTAATCCAGGCTGCTACATCTAGAACAAACTGTGCCTTCCAAATGTAGTCTTTGAGACAGAAGAGAAGTGAGAGGATGATGACCAAGTCCCAGCTAAGCAGAGATGAGGTGCAAAGAGACCCCACCCTCACCCCAAACCAAAAAGTTGTTACAGGGAAAAGCCGGAATCTCTGCTAGGGCAGGAATGTCTGAATTGTACAGATCTTATCTGAACTACTACGTCTAGGACTTAATTCCTAATCCCCCTGGTGGCTCTAAACAAAACATGTAATATGCCTGGGAACATCAATGCTCCTCACACTTTTCTCTGCCTGCTCACTGATCTGTATACTTCTGAATGTTTACTTCTGTCTCCCAAAGTCTAAAACAACCATTTGGAAGGAATTATTTTCATTTGGTCTTGAACAGACTGTTTTGGCCCCATGGAAATTGACTGAGTGTTTTTCTTAAGAACCAGAGCTGTGAACAATGGAAGCAATATTTTTGGAGACACAGAGGTCAGGTACTGGTTCCTCACCATCTTTGTGTTTTTGAAAGAATCACTAAGCAGCTCTGCACCCCAATATTCTCCTTTATAACCATCTTTGTTTTAAACAGCATTCCAAGGAAGAAAAGTGTGATTGCTATGATAACAGTAACATCATAACACATAACATCTATAACTCATTTTCCTCCATCAACACTAACCTAAGAATTACACAAGCATTATTTCATCGACTGCTTACAGAGCTCCGAGGAAGATGGGGATCTCCTTTAAGTAGATGAGAAAACTGGGGCTTACAGACGGAAATTAGAAAACTAACTTGTCTTGGACTCAAACTGTGGTTTCTAACATCTAAAGCTCTATTAGTAACTGCTATGCTGTACGGTCTAATAAACTTGTACATTTGAATGGAAGTTAGTGAGTTCTATCAGGAGCAATTTTATGGAAACTCTTTAAAATATCAAAGCCATCGGAGACTTTTTGTTTTTAAAAAGTGCAGTTTTGCAGTATATATTTCCTCTAGGTCCAACTTTGGGTAACTGTTAAGGCGTATCCTACATATCTATCATAGAACGTTGTTTCTTCTAAGCATGTTATGGGGCTGTGAGTTCTTCCCATGGATCTGTGAGAAAAAGTGATACAGAAACTTTTATCCAGAGGTGTTCTCTTTTTCCATCCTGTTCCCAATCCCATTTTTTACAATGGGTGAATATGAAATGGATTTCAGAGTATAGTTGGAGCAAAGAAATGTCCCTGTGAAATCAGAACCATTCCTTTGCCTCTGCAGTAAGTTTAATCACTGATAACTACCTTCTGGCCCACGAGGCATTTGAGTTTTGACATTAGATGTGGCAGAGAGAAACCATGAAAGGCAAGAAATTCTAAGACTGGACTTCCACACTGTCTTAAAGCCTGCTCTTGATGAAAACAATTCCCATCTCTTATTCTCTCTAGAAAACATTTATCCTGCTAACATGACAAATGGCCCAACAAGCGCAATCACAAAGGAAAGGCATTCCTTGAAACATCAGCACTGTTAAGAAAGAATTCACAGGCAAGGACAACACACTGAAAATGGAAACCTGGCATCTTTGGGTCTGGGTTCATTTAGTCAAGATAAAATTGTCTTATTTCATTCCTACTAAACCTAGTTCTTAGTATTACTTCTGAGGATATCTATGTCAATTTCTTGTGCGAAAAGTAAAGACATCATTAGACTCAAAGAGTGGTTTATCATTTTCACAACTGTTCTCTTGTAATTTTTATTATTAATCTATATCATAAGTTTTTACATTCCCAATACACTTTGTGGTATTGAAGAATGAACCCAAAGCATTTTCCCTGCACTGAGCTACCTACCAAGCCCTTGTTTTTGTTCATATTTTTGAACAAGAGTCTCATTATGCAGTCCATGCTGGACTTAATCTCATGATCTTCCTGCCTTCACTTCTCAAGCACTGTGATTATAGACATGTATGACCATGCAAGAAATATTTTTCTTTTTCAAATTTGCTTTAGCTTTTTACTTCTCTTGTCTTCTTATCCAGAAGAGGAAAACAAAAACAAAAACAACCTTGCCTTTACCCCGACCCAAAATTCTCATGAAAATATGAACACAGGTGACAGAAGACGATGACAGAGGGAAAATAAATTTTCTCCAATTATATTTGATCAGACCTAAACACATGTATACTGAAGCAATACTAATTGCGAACTGAGTTGAATAGTGTGTGTGTGTGTGTGTTTAACAATAACAGTTATAGAAGAATAAATCACTAATTTCATTGGGAGGCAGGAAGGGGAAGACTTGGGGGTGGAGGGGGAAAGGGAGGGGTAATGATATAAATAGTTCATTCATTCATGCAATTCTAAAGAGAGGGGAATGAATGAAAACATGCTGCTGAGAGGAACTGTGGATTCCACATGAGAGTCCTTGGGAAAGTATAAACATCACTGAAAGATAATGCTAACTATGTTCTGTTTTTTTTTTCACAAATTTCATATTAGATCTACATAGAGCAGTTTTCATTTGTAAGTGGATAAATTCTGATTTAATTCAAAAGTAGTTCCTTCACCAGCAAGCTGGAGCTTTATGTATTTTTAGTTGTTAATTGGTTCATTTATTTGTGAAGCTAACATCTGATATATGGTTATTTTGTGCTGTTTGTCATTTTAAAAGCAGAATACAAAGATAAATAAAAGTAATTTTTCTTACAAAGGGAATCATTATGTCAAAATTCAAGTACAGTCTATAGTGCTTATAGTTTCCACAGATTCTACCCATGTTAAGTAAGCATGCCTGGCAGAGTGAATAAACACAGGGGTTCAGTGCAACCAAGATAGATGGAATTTCTTTTTTCAGTAAAATTATCTCCACAGAGAGATATAGTCAAAATTGTAGGCTCTCACTCTTGGGAAACCTGCTGGTTGTGCTGGCCGTGCTGGCCAGGGAGTCAGGCAGGTCATCTTCGCTCTCCTTCCCATGTTCCAACTCCAATTTCCCAATCTTATCCCAGCTTGTTAAAGACCACTGCTGTGGCCTCTGCTTTCACTCTGCCCCCATTCCTAGGGTTCTACAAAGACCTTCTCCTTAGTCTTCCTCCTTTATCCCATTCCTTTGTCTCTGGCGGGTCTCAATACACAAAGACACTCTGTCCCTGGAGACCCAATGACCTGGAAATCAGGTAGGCAATCTTTTTGTCCTCCATTTCCAATTCCCCTAGTCTTCTTTCCAGCCCTGTAGCAGAACACTTGTAGTGGGCTGTCTTCCCTCTCTTCCTCCAATTCCTGGTGACTCCACAGATACTCATGATAGATTCATGCTTTCCTTCTTCACATGGACCCTCTCACTCAGTAGTCTCCCCCTCCACCTATATAACACCCCTATCCTTCCTGTCAGATCCCTACCTAAGAACTTCTTACTTGGACCCTAGGTAGTGATCTCTGTCAGGGACTCCAAAACAGTAGCTACTAGGTAACCCATATCCAGAATACTCTCTTGAGATCCAGCAGAACAGCTGAAACCAAGGAATGAAAACCTACCCAACTAGATAGACATCAATGACTAGAATTCCAATCATCTCAAATTCAGATGCCTAGATACCAGCATAAAAACAGAATTGTGGACAACCAAGACAATATGTCACCACTAAAGCCTGGCAACCCTAATATGTAGGTCCTGAGAAATGTAATATAGCTAAAGGGGCAGGAACTTCAAAATAGCTTTTGTGAATATGTTCAAGGACCTTAAAGAGGATATAAATAAGTCCACTAATGAAATCTATGGAAACAAAGACAGACAGTGGGACAAACTAAAGAAAATAGTTCGAAGACATAAAAGTATCCACTTTTATGGAATTGGAAAAGAAATTCCATTTTCTGAGGTAAAACTGGAAATGAAAATGTTAAATAAAAAAAAAAAACAACAACAAACCCTTGGAACAAAACACTCAGGAAATATGGAACATGATGAACAGACCAAAACTAAGAATAATAGGAAGAGGGAGAAGAAAGCCAGGTCAAAGGCAAGTAAATATTTTCAAGGAAAGCATAGAAGAAAATTTCTCTAACCTAAAACAGGAGATTCCTGCCAAACACCAAATAGAATGGACAAGAAAAGAATGTCCCTTCAGCAAGTAATAATCAAAACAGTAAACATACAGAACAAAGAAAGAATGTTAAAGCTTCAAGGGGAAAAGATGAAGAAACATGTAAAGGCAGACCTATTAGAATAACACTTGATATTTCCATGGAGACTCTAAAAGACAGAGGGGCCTGGACAGATGTTCAACAAACTATAAAAGACTATAGATGCCAATGCAGACTAGTATACTCAGCAAAACTATTAATTGAAATATATTTAGAAATTTAGATATTTTATGATAAAATAAAACCGTATCTATCTACCAATTTGGTTCTACAGAAGAAGCTAGAATAAAAACTTCAACCCAAAGAGGTGAAAACAAATAAGCAAACTCAAGAAAATACAAATAATAAATAATCCCAGACCAGAAGATCAAAAGAAAGGGAAAAAAACACACCAGCCTTTCCAATTACATGAGGAATCTAAACCCTCCAAGTAAAACCCAGGACAAGTCAGGCAGTATTTTAATAGGTCTGCCCTTATCAGTCTTTTTCCCTTGCAACTTTTAATATTTTTTCTGTTCTGTACGTTTAGTGTTTTGAGTATTAATTGCTGAGGGGACTTTCTTTTCTGGCTCAGTCTATTTGGATTGTCAGAATAGACAGAATAGCAAACCATGCTTTTTATACAACTGGTCTATATTCCATAGACCATAGCAGAGGCAAAAGGGTGTTGGCAACAGGGGAGATAGAACCCTCATGATTTACTGATGGGTTAGATAGAGTGAAAAAGGAAAAATTAGAAGTCATGCATTAATCCTAATTTTTTTGGTTTTAAAAATTACAAATGATAGTATCTCCTTAATGACAGAAACACAAAAAGTTTCAGCTCTGAAAGGGTGGCAGCTACTGCAGTCAGACAGGCAGTGAGTCCTGACCTCTTCTGCTCACCACCCCTACACCTAATCCATTTTCTCCAATGACAGCAATACCGTTCTAAACCTTGACCTGTATTTTTTAGGTATGTTTCACATCTAATCCATCAAGCACTTCTTCTGCGTTTACTGGGAGAACATAGCCTAAATCTGATGAGTGCTCGCTGCCAACTCTATCATCTCAGCTGACTGCCTGCAGTAGCTTGTCTCTGGCCAGTGCCTCCATCCTCCTGCCCCATCATCAATGTAAAACAGAGCAGGCTAGGGTCAGAATGACCCTGACAATCAGTCACAGCATTTCACAGCCTGCTCTTCTCCATGGGATCTCTACTTTACTTTGGATAATAGTGAAAATCCTTGCAGTGGCCAAAGATACAACTTCCTACTTCTCCACTGAAGTGCCCCTCTTGCTGTTTCTATACTAAGCTAAGCAAGCAACACTTTCAGTGCACATATGGCTCCCTTGGCCTTGTATATTCTTCACCCAGACTCCAAATAACTAACTGCCTTTCCTTTCTCATTCTTTGTGATCACCTTATTTAAAACTGTAAACTCTAGGCTGGTGAGATAGCTCATCATGTAAAGACACTGGTTGACAAGTTTGACAACCTGAATTAAATCCTTGAAACCCACATGGTGGAAGGAGAGAACCTCCAGAATTTCCCCTTTGATTTCAACATGTGCACTTTGGCACACATGACCCATCCCCATGTGCATGTGCACATCTGAGCACACATATGTTTGGGCACAAACTCACACACACACACACACACCCCAATATAATGAAAGTAAAATGAAATAAAATTGTAAGCTGCTTATCTGAACTCATGAGCGTAACTTCTACTAACTAAAAAAAAAAAACCCTATAATATAAAATGAAATGTGTTCATTTGTTTGCATTATCTATCTCCTTGTGTTAGAATGTACACTTGAGAAGGGTTCATATTGGGCAGAAATAGCTGTTTGAGTCACTGTTATTTCCCAGGAAGATCAATACCATGAATATAGAACCAGGCAATAAATTCATCCTAAAGAGTTTATACTTAATTTAAATTCAATGGTTGGACCTGTGCTGGAAGAACGACTTTACCTGTGGTGTGAATGAGGGATAGGAGAGGAAAGATGGAGTGTTGAGGAGCCAATTAAGTGGCTGTGCAAGAAGAGCTAAGAGGGAGTCATTGCTTTTATAGAGTTGGTCTGTAAAAGTCATCACATTGCACCATGTGAAATGCTGTGGACATGCCTGTATCTATCACAGATTTAAAAGTCAACACTGAGATATATACATAACTCACAGTTTGCAAAACCTGCCAACTGTATTTGCTTCAGGCTACTTGGAAAGGATGTTACCATGACTGACACGACAGTAATTGTTTCTCAAAGGACTCTAGAAGAGAAGACAATACTCAGAAATGAAGCTCTGCAAGACTGAGGGCCAGTTGTGGCAAAATCTGGCAGCAAATTAGCTAGATTTGTGATTAAATGTAACTGTTGGTGTTTGGCCAAGCTGTCTCACCCTTCTTTACTAGTAAAACTGAAATAACAAGAAAAGTATACATATACTGGGAAGACCAGAGAAAATGTCAAATCTTAATGGACTTAAACACATCTTAATGGTCCAAGCACATTGGCATATAACAGGTCCTTAGTAAATCTGAGGTCTTATCTTACCAATGATTTGACTAACACACATTGCACAGCCCAGGTACTAAGGATTCAGCTCTGAGCTGACTTCTGAGTTGCTAATAGTCCAGCTAATGAGTGAATGGGTGATGTACTAAGATGATATGGCAACATTCACAACCCTATGAAGAAAATGTCAACTTACCAATTTTCCAGTCACACTCTGACCACCTTCATTCAACCAGAAGCCTGGGACCATGGCTGAGAAATAAGGACCCCAGACACCTGGTACAAAGATTGGATCTTTGCTGATCTGAAACAAGCAAACAAAAAAAGAAAATGTATGTGAAAAAACTGGCCCCCAAGGAGAGAGAGACCTTTATTCTCCTACCACTGATCTTGTTACCACCAAAGATTTCAGCTTCTTATAAAGTATTTTTTATGGTGGGTAAGTCACCCTCTCCTAAGGAAGAGAATGGCTCTATCTGTGGACCCCTTGCTGATCAGTTCATACAGATGTCAAGGGAGTAAAAGTAATCATTTTCAATAGGCGCTGACCAAGCTCATCCATGCTAGCTTCCTCTTTGTGACAAGAATTACTGGTCTCATGCTTACTCTTCCAATATCTTCACAAGCAGACAGTTTAGATCCACTCAATAAGGTCAGCTACACATAATTAAGAAACTAAAATCTAAGATGTCCTGCTTCCACCAAATAATACAGTCAAAACAAAACACAAGATGCAAATTTTTATCCTTGTCAGCTTGATTTTATGAAATGTAAAAGGCTAACTCTTCATCCATGACAACATGATTCTGTGAGATCAAGCCATCTCTAGGTAATCAATTTAATGGTCACATTCTGGGTTTTAAAAAGTTAATGTCCAGCCAGTAAGGAAAAGGCCAAGGCGCTTGACCCGTTTGAATTATGAACTGTGCTGCAGCTACTCAAGGAAAGCTTTGCATCACTTAGGTTAGGTTGAAGACTTGCTGATTACAACATGATTTTTTTCACGACAAATAAACTTTCCCCTTCATTTGTCATATTCTGCTTTTCACTTGAGGAGAGGTAGTGCAATGGACTTCTTGGAGAAAGGCTTAGCTTAAAAAGAGTAGCAGGGCTTTGGCCTGGGGCATACACAGAGTTGGTTTGCTCCTGTGGAGATACTGAATCATGAACCATCCTAGAGGAGCCACTGCACTCAGAGCAGCCGGTAAGAACTCCATCTCACTCCCTAAGCCCCAGAGTTACATCTGGGAGTCAGGGACATTCAGGACCCACCAGCTACCCAAACCCAGCCCCTCCGGAATTCCACTTCCCTTCCGCCCCTGCCTGGTCCTTTGGGCTGGGGCAGACACAGAGTTGGTCTGCTCCTGTGGAGATACTGAATCCTGAGCCATCCTAGTGGAGCCACTGCACTCAGAGCAGCAGACACCAAGCTGGTTTGCACTTGGGAGACATCATACCATGAGCCATCCTAGAGGAACCACTGCACCCAGAGCAGAAGGATTTCCAGATACAAGAGGTGGCCTGAGTCCCAGGAGTTCTTCTACCCGGAAGATTAGGATCATAAGACCACAGAGACATATGGACTCTGAGGAGCTCTGCCACAAGCAAGATATCTGGAAATAAAGACTCTAGTCTTACACAGTGAGGACAGGTAACACTAGAGTTAACCAGATGGTGAAAGGCAAGCGCAAGAACATAAGCAACAGGAACCAAAGTTTCATAGCATCATCAGTACCCAGTTCTCCCAATATAGCAAGCCCTGGACACCCCATCACACCTGAAAAGCCGGATTCAGAATTAAAATCACTTCTCATGATGATAATAGAGGATTATAAGAAGGACATAAGTAAATCTCTTAAAGAAATACAGGACAGTACAAGTAAACAGATAGAAGCCCTTAAAGAGGAATCACAGAAATCCCTTAAAGAACTGCAAGAAAACACAAAGGAATTAAACAAAAACATTCAGGATCTGAAAATGGAAATAGAAACAATAAAGAAAGCTCAAGGGGAGACAACCATGGAGATGGAAAACCTAAGAAAGAGATCAGGAGTCATAGACTCAAGCATCAACAACCAAATACAAGAGACAGAAGAGAGAATCTCAAATGCAGAAGATACTATGGAAAATATTGACACAGTGGTCAAAGAAAATGCAAAATGCAAAAAACTCCTAACTCAAAACATCTAGGAAATCCAGGACACAATGAGAAGACCAAACCTAAGGATAATAGGTATAGATGAGAATGAAGATTCCCAACTTAAAGGCCAGTAAATATCTTCAGCAAAATTATTGAGGAAAACTTCCCTAACCTAAAGAACAAGATACCCATAAACATACAAGAAGTCTACAGAACACCAAATAGACTAGACCAAAAAAAAAAAAATACCTCCTGTCACATAATAATCAAAACATCAGATGCACAAAACAAAGAAAAAATACTAAAAGCAGTAAGGGAAAAAGGTCAAGTAACATATAAAGGCAGACCTATAAGAATTACACCAGACTTCTCACCAGAGACTATAAAAGCCAGAATAGCCTGGACTGACATCATACAGACCCTAAGAGAACACAATTGCCAGCCCAGACTACTATACCCAGTGAAACTCTCAATCACTATAGATGGTGAAACCAAGATATTCCATGACAAAACCAAATTTGCACAATATCGTCCCACAAACCCAGCACTTCAAAGGATAATTGATGGAAAACGCCAACACAAGGAGGGAAACTACAACCTAGAAAAAGCAAGGAATTAATCTTCCAACAACCCCAAAAGAAGATAACTATACAACCATAATTCTACCTCTAATAACAAAAATAACAGCAAGCCACAATCATTTTTTTCCTTAATATCTGTTAACATCAATGGTCTCAATTCCCCAATAAAAAGACGCAGACTATCAGACTGGATACACAAACGGGACCCAGAATTTTGCTGCATACAAGAAATGCACCTCAGTGACAAAGAAAGACACTACCTCAGAATAAAAGGGTGGAAAACAATTTTCCAAGCCAATGGTCCCAAGAAACAAGATGGAGTATCCATTCTAATATCAAATAAAATTGACTTTCATCCAAAATTTATCAAAAAAGATAGGGAAGGACACTTCATACTCATCAAAGGAAAAATCTACCAAGGTGAACTCTCAATTCGGAACATCTATGCTCCAAAAGCAAGGGCACCTACATATATAAAAGAAACTTTACTAAAGCTCAAAACACACATTACACCTCACACAATAATAGTGGGGGATTTCAATACCCCACTCTCAGTAATGGACAGATCATGGAAACAGAAACTAAACCGAGACACTTTGAAATTAACAGAAGTTATGAACCAAATGGACTTAACAGACATCTATGGAACATTTCATCCTAAAAAAAAAGAATATACCTTTGTCTCAGCACCTCATGGTAGCTTCTCCAAAATAGACCATATAATTGGGCACAAAACAGGCCTCTACAGATACAAAAAGATTGAAATAATCCCGTGCATCTTATCAGATCACTACGGACTAAGACTGGTCTTTAATAATGACGAAACCAATGGAAAACCCACATGCACATGGAAACTGAACAACTCTCTACTCAATGATGACTTGGTCAAGGAAGAAATAAAGAAGAAATTAAAGACTTTATAGAATTCAATGAAAATGAGGACACATAATACCAAAACTTGTGGGACTCCATGAAGGCAGTGCTAAGAGGAAAACTCATAGCTCTAAGTGCCTACAAAAAGAAACTGGAGAGAGCACACACTAATAACTTGACTGCACAACTAAAAGCTCTAGAACAAAAAGAAGCAAATACACCCAGGAGGAGTAGAAGGCAGGAAATAATCAAACTCAGGGCTGAAATCAACCAAATAGAAACAGAAAGAACAATACAAAATATCAACAAAACCAGGAGCTGGTTCTTTGAGAAAATCAACAAGATAAATAAACCCTTAGCCAGATTAACCAGAGGGCACACAGACAGTATCCAAATTAATAAAATCAGAACTGAAAAGGGAGACATAACAACAGAAACTAAAGAAATTCAAAGAATCATCAGATCCTACTACAAAGGCCTATACTCAACAAAACTGGAAAACCTGGATGAAATGGACAATTTCCTAGACAGATACCAGGTACCAAAGTTAAATCAGGAGCAGATAAACCATCTAAATAGTCCCATAACCCCTAAGGAAATAGCAACAGTCATTAAAAGTCTCCCCACAAAAAAAAATAACCCAGGACCAGCTGGCTTTAGTGCTGAATTCTATCAGACCTTCAAGAAAGACCTAATACCAATTCTCTTCAAACTATTCCACAAAATAGAAACAGAAGGAACACTACCTAATTCCTTCTATGAAGCTACAATTACACTCATAACCAAACCCCACAAAGACCCGACAAAGAAAGAGAACTTTAGACCAATCTCCCTTATGAACATCGATGCAAAAATACTCAATAAAATTCTAGCAAACCGAATCCAAGAACACATCAAAACAATCATCCATCATGATCAAGTAGGTTTTATCCCAGGAATGCAGGGATGGTTCAATATTCGGAAATCCATCAATGTAATCGACTATTTAAACAAACTCAAAGAAAAAAAACCATGTGATCATCTCACTAGATGCTGAGAAAGCATTTGACAAAATTCAACACCTTTTCATGATAAAAGTCTTGGAAAGATCAGGAATTCAAGGCCCCTACCTAAACATAGTAAAAGCAATTTACAGGAAACCAGTAGACAACATCAAACTAAATGAAGAGAAACTTGAAGCAATCCCGCTAATATCAGGGACTAGACAAGGCTGCCCACTCTCCCCCTACCTATTCAATATAGTACTGGAAGTCCTAGCCAGAGCAATTAGACAACAAAAAGAAGTCAAAGGGATACAAATAGGAAACGAAGAAGTCAAAATATCACTATTTGCAGATGATATGATAGTATACTTAAGTGACCCCAAAACTTCCACCAGAGAACTCCTAAACCTGAAAAACAACTTCAGCAAAGTGGCTGGTTATGAAATCAACTCAAACAAATCAGTAGCCTTCCTCTACATGAAAGATAAAGAGACTGAAAAAGAAATTAGGGAAATGACACCCTTCACAATAGGCGCAAATAATATAAAATACCTTGGTGTGAATCTAACCAAGCAAGTGAAAGACCTCTATGACAAGAACTTCAAGTCCCTGAAGACAGAAATCAAAGAAGATCTCAGAAGATGGAAAGATCTCTGATGCTCATGGATTGTCAGGATTAATATAATAAAAATGGCCATCTTGCCAAAAGCCATCTACAGATTCAATG